TTTAAACGTGTGAACAGAGTTGCGAGATTGAACTAATATAATTACTTTGCATGCATTTTGGTCGGAGAAACTGCATACAAGAGTCTACTTCTTAATATCTAGACTAATAGCTTAGGCGGTTAGTCGCTGGCTTCCCATCGCGGAGGCGCGGTTTCGATCCCGGGACTGGTCAAATGGGATTTTTGGTGGACAAAGTGGCGCTGTGGCAGGTTATCTCCGAGTCCTTCGGTTTCCTCTGCCAATCTTCATTCCACCAAATTCTCATCATCATCATAATCCCCCGGGACAGGCTACAATAGGCCAATCAGTGGCCGCCGTGCCGAGTGGACCCAGTTTGACTCCCCACTGAGCGAATTAAAAATATTTAATAATTTATTTAACGGCGCTGTGAGTAGCTCAGACTAATCAGGGCCGAGTGGTGCTGTACCAGATAAATGATGAATTGAAAATTATATAGGCGAAAGCGTTCATGGCCTGTTTAAGGCATAAATCCGACATTCTCAAGGAGAGACTTAAGAAAACTGCGAAGAAGACTGAGGGCAGTTAATGCCTCAGCTGAGATTCGTACAGGGCGTCTCCCAAATACAAATCAGAAGGGTTTTCTTTATTGCTAGTGGGGTGATACTAAGTCCCTTTTACTGCGGCCACATCTGGCCTTTTGTAACAGCCCCAGATGATAGGTGAGAGTGATTGTGGAGCAGTTGGTGGAATGAAGATTGGCAGGGGAAACCGAAGTACTCGAAGAAAACCTGCCCCAGCGCCAATTTGTGCACCACAAATCCCACTTGACCAGACCCCGGGATCGAACGCGGGCCGCAGGGGTGGGAAACCAGCGACTAACCGCTTGAGCTATAGCGTGGCCAATCAGAAAGTTTACTACCTGACAGAACTTCTCGATAACTACGCTTACGTGGGAGAATAGTATTAAAATTGACCATAAGAAACAGATTTCATGGGTTTTGATGGGATTACCGTGGCTCAGGACAGAAAGAAGTGGCAGGCTCTTGTAAACACTGTAATGAACCTGAAGGTTTCGTGAAAGGCCAAGAGTTTATTCATTTTGTAACTTTAGATTCTGGGGATAAACTCTATCCCATGCATTAAATAAAGTGGCTTATCTAATTATCTCTAACAATATTGTACGAATAAACAAAATCTGACTATCTAAAGCAACTGCACGTATTTCACCACTTCGTGAGAAACCGTCAGTCGCTCAGCTTCTCTAGAACTTTTCCGAAATTATTTGGAACCCGAAGGCACATTACTGTGTTCACAAGGGCCCTCCACCGATCTCCCTCCTGACTCCAGTCCAAAGCGAAACTCCTACCCCTGTGACACCCAAAGAATCCTATGCCCCGTGTAATATTTCGTAACAATATTTTTAAGGTGAGGGATTGTTAACCCCTTGTCCAACTTCCAATCTGGAGGACCACCCATTGTCGGCTATCAGCGACTGCTTATCCAGTATATTCGCAGCTACTCTCCATACCTGGNGAAGACCAAGGCGTAGGTGGGTGGACAATATTAGAATGGATCTTAGAGAGATAGGATGGGATGGTATGGATTGGATAGATCTGGCTCAGGATAGGGACCAGTGGAGGGCTCTTGTGAACACGGTGATGAACCTTCGGGTTCCATAAAATGCTGGGAAATTCTTGAGTAGCTGCAGAATTGGCGGCTCCTCAGGAAGGGCTCAGCTCCATGAGTAAGTAAGTAAGAGTACTCTCCGTACCTGGAGGCCATCTTCTCTATCCGCAATCTGAGGACGCATCATGCCTGGTGGCAAGAGACCAACTTATCATGAAAAAGTATTTATAACAAGAAAGAGACACTCCAAACTTGTTTGCTTCATGGACCTATAACCCGTTCTTACACTGAACTAATAACAGATTTGAGTAAGCTGACATTGCTTCGTCTCAAGACAATGCACCTGTGTATCCTTGCAACAGATGGCACCTGCCTGAGTGGCTTCATGCAGTGACTAGCGGCAACTTCATCGGCACTTCCTACACGACAGAAACAGCTGCAGCGGGTTAACGCAGTGGTTCCTGGTTTAAGCATCATGCCACTGGAAAACTCTAGCTGCAGTGTCCCTGAGCGCGCGTCATACATTCATCAGACAATCTTACAGACGAGAAGTCCTGTGTATTGAACGAGATCTCCGCCATGGAGATTTTAGTCCCCTTTTTATGTTAAAAATAAATCCTCATATATGTCTGTTAGGATATAACGCCGTGTATTCTGGTGAAATTCTATCGACGTTTAGGAGAAACATGTTGCCTCAATCTTAAAGAGTACAAGAACGACCTGAACAGGAAACCAGCGTGAAGTGAGCAGTAAATAATTCTGAGCTAAGTTTCTTCCTTGGTTTATTCTTCGGCCCTGAAGATGCAGGCGATATTTCCTTTCGAAACGTCGGTTGACGTTCACCCGTCTCCCAGATAACATAACAAAATTAATTCCTGTTGCTTTCCAGCCCATATTCTGACCCTTATTTCGGAGTCATATGTACAGTCTTTTTCCGGGTGAGAGGTGATGATTTTATAGACTCTGTCGAAGCCTATATTATCGGACGGTAGGGCAGCTGCTGAATTATGATTTTGGAAGGATATGGTAGTGACCTAATAAGTAATTTCCCGGAATATGCCTGGAGGGACTGAAGAAAACCATGAAAATCTTTTCAAGATAATTTGTGTCTCGGCCAGGATTCGAACAGAATACAAGTGTAGGACACCGCTATACCACACTGATAGATAATACAACTCTTAAGAATTACGACATCAGTGATGGTTTTAACGACAGTCTCTGAACATGTTGCTAGTGTGACAAAGTTAAAAAAAAATTGTTGACCTGCTCGTGACGGAGGGTCGAGAGTGTAATTAGTTGTTGACCGTGGAGACACTGAGGTTTGCAACGTCCCTGACCTCGAAGAACAGTCGCCATCCATAAAACAGTGGCGCTCCCAGGTGTTTGGCTTGCCTGCCCACGTCATAGGAGTGGGATGTAGGCTGGAGACATGACCAGACTTCATGATGCCATTTTTAATCTCATTGTCACAATGTTGGAAGCAGAGCATTCTACCGGAGCAAAATGAAACTGCAGGCGCCACCACAACAAAAACGACGTTATATCTCACTTACGTTTCGTGATTGAATTTCGAATATTAACAGGTGAAGGCCTGGACATGATCTCTCGTGCTAAATAATAACATGTAATATTTATAGGAAGTCCGCAGAGAAACGCTTGGTCATATAATTAAAATAATAAATCACGATTCAAGGATCTAATTTTATCCTGCCGACATATACGGTTTTTACTGTACAAGAAAAAAAAATAGTAAAGAGCAGTATGGAGCTTTCATTTAAAACAACTAAAAATACAGTGATACTTAAAAAAGTGGTACGAGTATATCAAAAACTAAGTAAGTTAAACAGGCTTGAAGGCCCACAGGTTTGTGAGACGTCGAGGTTCCCACATTTTCTAGACAATCGGCTCACAGATGGCGGTTAGGTTGTCAGCCTTACGCGCCGGCCGTCTTTGCCCCCATGAAGGGGGTTACTCATTTCTGTTAGAGGCTGAATCGACCCCAGGGCCATAGTTCGGCAGGAAGTATTAGGTCAATTGGACAATCCAATGATCTCATCTGGAATCGAACCAGCTGCAATCCGGTTTGTAGCATTGTTAAAATCTTATTTATATAATTGAAAACAGAAAATTGGTATTACGTATGCGAATAACAACCCCCTCCCCTAAACTAGATATATTCTCATTGACAACAGCGCACAGCGCTTCAACAGCCTGGCTACAGCGCACATAGGAGGACTACGGACTGAAATTCGTAATACTGTAGCGTGTAGACCCGTTGCTAAGTAATGACGATATGCAACTGCCGTTGCTAGGTAATGATCTTAAACAGAAACAGAGGAATGGCTTTCTCTATGCGGTCCACGGGATAGCTACGTGACGCAACAATAGAAGAACTGTTGGGAGAGGTGTTTTCTATGCGAGCCGTGCCGAGGAACATCTGCGATTACGAGAGAGCCTTAGAGAGTAGCAAGAAGAGTAGGAGGTCGGTGTGAGATGGCCTGAGAGTTACATAATTGGAGCAATGAGTGAGCTGTGAGACAGTGGCCGGCCAATAACGACTTTAACACGTAAGCTGAGGAAGCTACGGTGTTGAAAGCCGTTACCAGGCGACAACCGGTGAAGATCAAGTGGACAGAGAAAGGTTTGTGCGTGCCGTAGTTAACTGCAGAGTGTATAAATTAGCAATATTGCTATATTTGCCTGTAATTAAGATCTGTAAGCCTTCAATAAATACAATTCCCAATCCAATTACACAAGTGACAACATCGTAGAACATTTGCTTTTGCCTGTAGTTTCTGGGAAAGTTCAGAAGCAACAGTCACATTACAGAGACGATGGAGCTTGAAGAATATAGATGGATAACTGACAGCGTCTATCACCGTCAGCCTCTGAAAATATTGTAATCGCGGTCTTGTGATTAGCGTCACTATGGTCTCGGTTTCCTATATCTTAAAGCCCTTCCTTGCGAAGCTCAGGAAAATAGGTTCTATCTTCTAATATGTTACAAGGGAATTCTTGCAAAACTTCATATACTGTTGTTCTTTGTTACATGTAGCAAAGGCTGCAACCATGAAGATGCCATTAATGGCGAAAGAAAACTGAATAGTGAAGGTCAAATGAGTCGCTACAACAAAGGTCTGACTTCGTGAAGATTGTAAGCGTAATCATCAATGGGGGGGGGGGGGCTGAAAATATGTAAACACTTCTACAATACTTTCTGATTTAACATCTTAAACATCATTACATTTGACTCTGCACGTCTTATGTAATTGAGAAAGAGTCATTAAATAAACAAAAGCTACAATAACGCCCGCCATCATCTGAATTACCCTTGAATTTATCTGTAGTGAGGCAAAACAATTAAAATACGACATTCATTCTATGCAGATTTTGACTCGAAAATTTTAACTGACCTTTTCCTTATACTGGAGAAGCGCTGGCAAATTTCAGAGGTTGGCTACACTGATGTGTATTCCCTCTCGCTCTTGTCACACATCCCACAAGAATCTGAAACAAAGAATAGTCCATTTTTATAGGTCTCTTTGTAGGAGAGGAAAAACCAATGGAAGAAACATAGAGTTAATTTCTTGATAAATTTTCAGTTGCTTGCGACTGTTATATATCTTATTTCAATACTCTGGATTGTGACACCGTGCAGCCTGGTAAGCTGAAGTCAACGTTTCGGAGGAATATGCTGCTTCTATATTCAGGTACTTCTTCTGAAAATGGATCCAGAATATTCTCCGAAAAGATGGTCTGTTATATACTATATTTATTTATTGTTTATTTAATGACGGTATATTTCGCTTTTGGACTACAGGCCACGGAGTATGTTTTTGTTTTATTCATCGACACTTTCAGTGAATTAGAATAATTAGCACACAAAGTTCAATATTCATTAATCATCCTAAGTTTTGGCACTGCACCGTTTAAGATAGTGAGAACAAAAATAAAATAAATGGGCCATGCGATAGCGTAGTTGGTTGAGGCACTCTGCTACAAGCTGGAATGTAGTGGGTTCGATTCCCAATTAGATCATTACATTTTTCAATTGACCTAATCTTTAAAGTCGCACTATGGTCGTAGTGTCGACTCAGCCTCTAGCAGGAATGAGTACCAGGAATCTTCCTGGGGGTAAAGGGCGGCCGGCGCGTAAGGCTGACAATCTCACTGCCATCTGTGAGCCAATTGTGTAGAAAATGAAGGAGCCTTGACTTTTCACAACCCTATGGGCCTTCACGGCCTGTTAGCGGGAGAGCTTTACATTTCATAAATAAAATAAATGCCTATGTACCTATTTACCTATTATGTACTGCTATGTCTTAAGTGCATTCTGCCGTTGCCAAGCTCGAACCTCTACAATTCACGCACCCTATAGTGGATATACATATGTGTTAATAAGGTAAAGTTTTCCCTGTACTTAACTACGTAAATACTAGGACATGAAGGCGTATAGGTAGTGGATGTATAGATCCACTTTTTCTTGACCTCTGCACTAGTTGGAGGTGAGTTGTCAGTTTCACGCCCCGACCACTTTAACCCTGGGGAAAATACCCCCGGTATCCATTGGATAGGACGTTGGGTGGACCCCAGAGCCGGTCTGAAAGACACGGAGAAGTGAAAAATCTTGAACCCACTGGGACTCGAACTCCGACCCCTCGGTCATCCAGCTCATAGCTAGTCGCTATACCTACTGCACTATCCCGGATCACTCTGTGTTAATTATAAAATTAATTTCCCTATTGCTATAAAAATATGTAGGTATGTATGCATCTATCTATCCGTCTGTCTGTCTATCAGTCTATCTATCTATCTGTCTGTTTATCTATCTATCTGCCTGTCTGTCTATATATCTGTCTGTCCATCTATCTCTGTCTATTTATCTATCTATCTACCTGTCTGTCTGTCTATCTATCTATATGTCTGTCTGTCTATCTATCTATATATCTGTCTATCTATCTGTCTGTCTATCCATCCATCTATCTATATTTCTGTCTAACTATCTAGGTTTCTGTCTATCTATCTGTCTGTTTGTCTGTCTATCTAGCTATCTGTCTGTCTGTCTGTATATCCATCCATCTATCTGTCTGTCTGTCTATGTTTCTATATAGCTATCCTTCCATTCACTTGTCCATCTTCTTCTCCGATAACTTCAGCAGCCAAAGATACGAGGCAGGGCGCAACGAGTTACGACTTCCAGCGCTCACAAGGCCACTTGGGTTCCCTGGTCAGCAGTGCTTTACAGCCGCCCCAGGTACAGTAGAGGCAGTCCGAAGCCAAGACAAATTTCCCACGGGACAGGCTTACGATCCTCTGTTGCAACTTGCAAGGCTCCGTCTGTGATGAAGCTACAAGTGACGAGGGAATTTCGCACACTGATTCTGAGTTCCTGCCTGCTTCTCCTCCTTTCTCGCTTGACGTACTCTTCGATCGTGAAGAAGGAAGAGACATATTACTCCGAAACATTGGACTCTGTCCGAAGTACACAGCGTTACAACCCAGAAGACCGATGGACTTCTTTCAGCTGCTGTTGCCATTCAGGGAATTACATTCATTCTACAAGCTCACAGGCTGCAGACTTGCTATTGGCATATTCCTACAGAGACTTACTTCCGGAAGCGCCAAGTGCCTCACTTCCAGCGGTGATTACATTCAGAAGAAGCTTAAGTGTGCATTTTGTAGCATGAAGATGAGCCGGGAAAGCCCAATCGCTATAACGACTGTCTACGAGCTGGACGACCAAGGGGTCGGAGTTCGATTCCCGGTGCGGCAAGGATTTTCTTTTCTCCATATCATCCATAGAGTCTCTGGGGCCCCCACAGCCTCAGGGGGTAAAGCAGCCGGAGCGTGAAGCTAACCACTCACCTCCAATTATGCCGAGGTCAACAGTGCTTAATTAGTTAAGGACTGTAGCATGCAGACCAGTTTCTAAGTAATTAGAACGTAAACAACTTCCGTTGCTAGGCAACAGATTCTTAACACGCCCTAATGAAATGAGAAGCTTGTTCTCTACGCGGTCCGAGAGAAAGCCGCGTGACTCCACAATAAAATAATTGTTGGAAGCGGTGCTTTCTATTCTGTCAGTGCCGAGGTGTTTTAAGCAGGAGAATTCTAGAACTTCGTTAGTTGTGAGATAATCGCCGGCCAGGATGAACGTGAGAATGGAAATTGGGGAAGCTACGGTGTTGGAAGCCGTTCCTAGGCAAAGACCGTTGAAGATACAACCGGCCGAGAAGGCCTAGTATGTGCTGTAGTGAACTACAGAGTGTGTGAATTAATGATATCACTGCAGTTACGTGTCGTTAAGATTTGTAAGTGTTCAATAAATCCAATTACCAATCCAAACTCTGGCTATAGTCACTCATACACGTGGCAATACAGTAAAATATTTTGTTTTCATTGCTTGTTTCTCTTTTGTATAAAATGCTCTTTCTTCTGTCGCTTTATTTTGATAGGAAGAGGAATTACTTTTAGATACAAGGCTATGCAATTTTGATATATGGACACTAACTCTGCTGCCATCTTCAGGGCAGATATTTCTTTCCTTTTACTCCTCTAACCTGTTTCTTTCTTCCTTCCTGCCTAGTGTTATTTATAAATATTTATTTTTGTTATATTCTGTGTTCTCTTTTGTCCGTATTATTCCTTCTCTTCCTCTTTCAGTCGCATATTCTTCTCTCCTTCTTTTCTTTTACCTTCCTTTTCTATATTTCCCTTTCCCTATTTCTTTCTTGCTTTCTGTTTCTCTCTTTTCTATCTTCCTTCTTCCCTTTGTCCTTCTCTATTTTGTTTTGGTCCATCACATGGTACAAAGATAATTTTGTAGTTTATTTGCCGCTTATTTTGCAACGCTGACAGTAGCTCAGCCAATAGACCAACTAGTTATAGAATGATTGGTAGAGGTCTATAATTTGAGGTGCTATCCCAGTATTTGTCTGGGGTGCTTAGGATAACAACGAATTGTCTCATTCGGGTCTGCCGGTCTAAAGGCCTGAACACGAGACCCCTAGAATATGAGTCCGAGTTGCTGCCCGCTCTCAACCAACGATACAAAAATCCATAAACATCCACGTTCGGAGCTCTTTTCTAGTCCACACTCTAAAGGAACATTTCGAACTGTGGGCGCGTCTAACCGCTTGTTATGGTTATCACCGTTCGACGTTAATAAAAATACAATTAATCACATTTTGATCACATTTCAAATTATCGAAACGTCACTACTTATGAGACCGCGTCTTCAATCATCAAATCTCTCCCAGTACAGTTCACCAATTACTAGGACCTATATATGTATGTTAAAGGCGGGTGAACCGAACGTCCTGTCATGTGACATTTTGCACGTTTGATGAATGCAATTTATCATTTCCGAATCACTGCGTGTATATACCAAATTCAGCCCTTAAACAGTCCTGAAATTTGTCCACACTTTTAGTTCTATGAGTGAGGTACTCATTATGTGCGTAACATGTCTCAAAATGTAAGATTTGAAGTTTGTAAGGCCGTGACAATGAAAAAAGCAGTCTTGTGGGGTGTGGCGCCGTGTAGATACTGTGTTAACCGACGTTTCGTAGGAACGTATCTCCTTTATCTTCAGGGTAAAAGAAAAAAGAAGAAAATCCGCGAGCGAAGAACCAGCGTGAGCAGTTGCTAATAGGCTAATGACTAGACTGCTCGCTAGTACGTGACCTGATACATGGCTTGAATTCATGTAAAATATTAACGACCGAGAGTTAGCAGCTGCGGTAACTAAGGATTTCGTATTGACAGTTCCAAAAGGAGTAGATAAAGAAATCTGCCGAGTGTGATGATTTGGAATGTCCTAACATGATCTGGGTTATGAAACCAATAGCATGAATATTCATATGACTATGCACATGCATGCATATCCGACAATACATGTCATACAAGAGTCGCACAAGGTACTTTAACGTTAATAACAGAAGGCTCTATTAAAGTGGAATATGTTATTTAATATTTGTATACATTGTATCTTCGACCGCTTCTGTGGTCTAGTGGTCAGCCTGGCTACAGATCCAGAGGTCCGGGTTCGACTCACCTCGCTACCAGATTTTCTGAGAAGTAGTGGGTCTGGAACGAGGTCCACTCAGCCTCGTGAAGATAATTGAGGAGCTATTTCAAGGAAATAGCGGCTCCGGTCTAGAAGACCAAGATTAACGGCGGTGGGGATCCGTTGCGCTGACCACGCGACACCCTCTATCCGCAAAAGTTGGCACTAACTTCGCCGACAAGCGGCGGTGGCTAGGTGGGTATAGTTTGCTTTCGGACTAAAACTATGAATTTTTTTTTGTTCTTATACGTTATATTTTTAAAAGAAAATAAAACTTTCTACCCTGAATATAGAGGCGATAAACACCGGTAAACTTGTTCCAGATAGCACTGCGCATCACATACCAGAAGATACGACTGTGAGAATTTCGATTCCATTTGAAGAGGAAATTTGTTAAAGTTGGCAACCCTCATCACATTTCCTCCGTCACATGACGTAG